AATTATTTTACACAATGGCTGCATTACCATTATCCTTTATACCATGATTGTTCAGTCAATCAGGGCATACCTTTCTTGTATGATCCTCCTTCTTACAACAATAACACTTAATAGTAGGAGCATTACCATCATAAGAATTCTGTAGAACTTTACCCTTCTTATTTTCAAACCTACCATTTTTCTTCAAGAATTTCCTTTTTAACGGACAAACCTTCACCAACTGTTGATGGCTTTTCCTCCTTTCGTTCGTTCAAATCCTTAGAGTACAAGACAGATTGAACATCTTCAAAGATCAACGACTCTCTTCTATACAAGAAAGTTTCTTTGAAGTGAGCATGAGACTTAGGTAAAGAGCACAACAACAACAACAATGCTTGATCTTCATCATCAATCTTGACCTCAATATTCTCAAGATCAAGAATCAACTTGTTGAACATATCCAGCTGCTCAGCCAAGATTTTGTCTTCACTCATATTGAATGAGTATGAAGCTTGCTTCAGGTAGAGACGGTTAACTAACGATTTCGTCATGTACAAACCTTCAAGTTTTGTCCATACACCAGCTGCAATTTTTTTCTTTAAAACCTACTTGAGAACCTTATCACCAAGGCTCAATACAACGACATTGTGGGTTTTTTCGATCATCGTTATGTTCTCATTCTCCGTTAGGGCAGCCTCCATCTTCTTCGATCCTTTCAACGGTCCTAACAAACTCCATTGAACAAGAAGGGTATGCATCTTCAAGCGTCACAAACCGAAATCATTCACACCGGTGAATTTCTCAATCTCATATTTTGTTGACGACATCTTCTCCTCCATGTTCACCACACCAGTTTGTTGTGGACAAATCTTCAAGTTTTATCCACACACCATCTCATTTTACATTGCATTTAACTAATCACTAACAGGTTTGTGTAGTCTGTTGGTTTTGCAGGAAAGATCACACTGTGTGCAATTTAATTAGTGAAGGGAAAATGGTCATTAATTCACAGTTTACTGACAATTTATGAAGTTGGGTCGTCCGCAGGAACCCCTCGAGCGTTTAGGGTTCCATTTTCAAGTTTTGTGACTTATTTGAGGATGAATTGAATTTTACGGCAGTTTTGACGTCAGATTTGTCGTAACACAGTATTGTTTATTCAAGAGCCGAGATTTAGTCGTTATTGGATTTCATAAATACTCTTTGATTCCAGAACTATATGGGGTTGAATATGTCGAGGTATCAGCGGATTCAGGTTAAAACGGTGCGAGAATTGTGCTTTGAAGAATTTGTTTTAACAGACGCACGTTTTCTGCTGTCCACTGGTCAACGCTAAAATTTAAGGAAATAGTGGAATTCTGAATGATTAATTGTCGAGTTCGGAGTTAGATTGTCATTGCTTAATCAGATAAATCTCCTTGGAAGAAGTAGTCATTTGGGGTTTAATCGGACAAGTTGCAATCAGATGCATTTATGGGTATGGTTGTAATCGGACAAATTTAATCAAGCAAACTTATTCAGCCAAGTTCATTTGAAGGAGATTAATCAAATAAGTTTAGCCAAGCAAATTTAGCTGAACTTTTGTCGAATAAATTTAACTAAGTGAACTTGTTTGATTGAATTATTTGGTGAGTTTACTTTAGTCGAATAAATTTAACTAAGTGAATTTGGTAGATTGAGGTTAATCGGGAGAACTTTTGTCGAATAAATTTAACTAAGTGAATTTGTTTGATGGAGTTTAATCGGGAGAATTATCCGGATGAATTGTTCGAGAAAATTCAAGTTAACAAGAAGATAAAATTTTATTTATTTTGTATTTTTGTTATTACAATATTATAAGATCAATTACAAAATAAATCTTTGAACTCTAAAATTCCTAAATTATCCTAAAGTTGTCTCCGGATCCGTTTCTTCGAGTTCCGATTTTATTTGAGTTCCGACTTTATTTCTCCGAACCTGCAAGAAAAATCAACAAACGGTGAAAATATTAAAGTTAGTTAAAATCGGTTTTTCGGACTCCGACACCCTCAGGAAATTCTCATCATCAGGTGTGTCGGGAGGGCAACGACAAAGTCGAAGCCAGCTCCCGACTTATATTTCTCGGCCTCGGTACAAGATCAAGCAACATCTGTTCGTTTCAGTCCGAGAGAGAGAGAGAGAGAGAGAGAGAGAGAGAGAGAGAGAGAGAGAGAGAGAGAGAGAGAGAGAGAGAGAGAGAGAGAGAGAGAGAGAGAGAGAGAGAGAGAGAGAGAGAGAGAGAGAGAGAGAGAGAGAGAGACAGAAAGTGATTTTTTTGAAGAAAAGTGATTTTGAGAATAAGCACTTTTAAAAAAAAAACACTTTTTTTAGGAAAATTGGTTTTGCCAAACAGAGCATAAACAAAGTTCCCAAAAAATTTCTAAGCGTCAATGGATCAAACGAATCCACCAAAGCAGACTCAAAAACAACTTCTCCAAGAAAAGTGCATATCCAAACGGATCAAACAAACACAATCAGCAACAACTTTTCCGAAAAAACAACCTTCCAATATTTCGCAGCAACAACAAACAAAACCGTAAGAAATTTTCGCAACCAATAGCCACCAAAGGTTCCTGATAAATCTCCGAAACAAACTCATCATAATCCAGGCCCAGCAAATCACGTGAAAATCACTAATATATATGGAACAACAAGAACAACAGAGGGAGGGAGGAGTTTCAAGGAAGGTTCAGAAAAAGCTTGAGAGCTTCATCATCATCACCATCTGCGGAAGAACATCAGAGAAAGAGTTTCAGAAAGAACCTAGGAGGTTCATCCTCATCAAGAAGTGAAAAAGCCAGAACTGCACCAAAATCAAATTGTCGACGGCTCTGGGCGGAAGAGGATTGCACGGCTCAGTCCGTTCAAAACATCATCGTCGACCGCACATCAAACGCCACCACACGAACTCATATCTGTCATCATCATAGTTCCGGACAAGAAAGCTTCAAGCACCATCATAGTCATAAACGGATCACTTCCAACCCGTTAGAGGTGAGCATTCCGGATTAACCATGTTTGAGTTGTTTTTTTTACAGGATCATCAATGAGGTTCAAAGGTTCAAGAAAGGAAAACATGCAAAGATGAATGGGAAAAGCTTTGAAGAGGGACAACAATGGTCGCTCGGCCGCAAGGAAGAAGAAAAGGGGGTTTTAAAAACCCTAATGAACAACGCTCCGTAAAAGTTCCGCCCCTTCCCTTTTAATTGTTGATTTTAGTTTTTATTTTTATTTTTTAATTAGTCATTATTAATTTAAGTGTAATATAAGTTCTATTTAAATAATTAAGAACCTAATCATTTTCTAAAATTTAACTTTCCTAATTAAAACTTTTCTTTTAAGAAAATAAAATCAATTTTAATCTATTAAAACAATTTGGTTAAAATATTGTTGATATTTAAATTGAAAATATTTTAATTAGATTAAAATCCACATTTTGCTAACTTAAAAAGAACCCATTTTTAAAATCCTTTTAAGGATATATTTTAAAACTATTTTTAGATATTAAAAATTTTCTAATTAAAACCCTTTTTCTTAAATTAATTAAAATATTTTTTTAGAATTAGAACTAGTTTTTAAAAAAACTTGATTTCTATTTGTCTTTGTTTACTAATTCGTGGTCTTTTTCGTATCTCGTTTTTTCGGTTGTAATTATGCGAGGCCATAGTCGCTTATATTCCGTTTCTTATCCTTGCATTTTTGGATTGTAATTTACGCGAGTATATCGTCGCGGTGCCATTCCTTTATTCTTCGCGTTTTATTTTCATTTTGGTTTTAATTTACGCGAGTAATCGTCGCATTTCACTTTTTTTACTACTTCCATGTTTCCCGCATTTTCATACTGCCATATAATAATTTGTCATTTGCCTTATTTACCATTAATCCCTTCCGAAGGATTAGGTCTAACCGTTTGACCGCCGAGTCAATAGCCCTAACCTTTGACCATTTCAAAACCCTAATTGCATAGGTGTCCCGTCGTGGACTTAAATACCCTTTACCCTAGCATTAGGTCAAGGAGTCGCCGCATTCCGTTTTAGGGTTTCCCGCCGTAGAATGTTTAGTTTAACCCTAATTTTAATTCGTTTTCAACGTAGAAATAGGAGTCACCGCACTCCACGTAAGCGCTTTTCTTAAGCAACGCTTACTCCCCATTGAAACCTTGACCACCGTCAAGAAGTTTCTAACCTCCCTTTCGAGGGGAACTACGATTACTCTGATTTCATCCCCTACCCAGGATACGTAGGCACAATATGCGAGTCTTGCCGAGTAAACTTAGGACTAACCCTTAGGTCTTTCAATCACTCTTAACCCTTAGCAATGTACCCTTAAGCAGATAATAAAGCAAAATAGTAAATCTAAACAAAAGGTTCTTGTAGAGTACTACAGAAATTTAGGGTGCTAATACCTTCCCTAAAGTTAACCAACCCCTTATCTAGGTCTCTCTCCGCATGGTTTATGATACAAAAATTAGGTTTTCCTTCTTTTGACATTTTCCTTCGGATAAATCAAAGATCGGTTGTGAATCAAAAGATTTGCGATTCAAATTAATGAATAGTTTGATATCCTATTTTCACCACAACAGTATGCAAAAACGACCTTCGACTACCGCATGCATCACTTGTTGATTTGAAAATTTACTACAATACTAACTTTTAATTCAAATCAAACACCTTGATTTCTCAATAGGAAGTTTAGTGATGATACTACAAATTTAACTTTTAATTCAAATCAAACACCTTAATTTCTCAACAGGAAGTTTACTGATGATACTACAACAATGCAAGGCTTACGTAACGAATTGTACAATTATTATAATCATAACCCCAACTTATTTATGTAACGAATCTTAATGTGACTAAGTAATAACCCAAAGCCTTACGGCATACATTTCATCACATCACATTAACAACATTGGTATATTACTTTATATAATCCAATCTAATAAATAAAAATCATGTAGAACAAAAAATTAACAACATTGTAAATTTTATAAGTATAACTAATTAATTCTTCTTTCCTTCTTCTCCACCTTCTTCCAAGTAAGTTTTTTTCCTTCTCTCAGCAGTAGCAAGAACACCAATCACAAAAAAACACGTGGCATAAATCCCGTGAATCTTCCAATTAGTCTTCGGCGGTTGCCGTAACACCACTTTATGAAACACCGTCATATAATAATGAAGCCCAACGGAAAAGCCCACGAACGTTTGGGCCAAGCCCATGAACTTCGAGCCCAAACCATTTTCAGTGGAGAAAACCAAAACGAGGTACATGAGAAGTAACAGAAGGTAGAAAACGTACGCGAGTGTTTGAATGATCTGCAGGATAAGATACGTGGACTGCGAAGTAGAGTAAAAAAACTTTAACGGCTCGAGACCAGTGATCAGAGAAGAGAAACAGAGGATGGAAAAGTAGATTGATAAATAAGCTTGAATGAAAATTAAGAGCTTTTGGAGAGAGAAATAGGCTTTGATTTTGTTGAAGAGAAGTGAGGCTAAGAGTAATGGAAGTAAAACGCAGGTGCAAGAGAGTAAAGTTGCGATGGTTGGTGCGTATTTGTTGCCGACGTAAGGTTTGAAGTTTTTTGTGATTTGTTGGTTGGTTTTTGTTATGTAGGCTTTTGAGGTTGTTGAGATTTTTTCGAGGTCGGGGATTAGTGTTTGTTGGAATTTCATTGGGAGATCTTTGAAGTCTGAAACGAAGTCGGTGTCTTCATCGTCGAATAACCAACTTGGTGGTGTTTTTTTGCTGTTGTTGTTGTTCGGTTTGTTTGGTTTCTTTGATTCTTGTTGATCTGTTTTTGTGACGGTGGATTTTGTCGTTTTTGCTTTGATGAGATCCGGTGATTTTGTGGAGTTTGTGGTTGTGGTTGATTTTGATGTGGAATTTAGTTTCTTGGTTTTGAAGATTGTGGAATTGAGTTTTTTAAGGTTAGTTGTGGTAGTGTCGGTGAGTTTTGTTGTAGGTTTTGTTTGGTTTTTGGAGGGGGTGTTTGTGTGATTGGATTTGATTGTTTTGGTTTGGTTTTTTGAGAGGTTGTTTGGTTTGATTAACTTGGTTTGGTTTTTGGAAGTAGGTTTCTTTTTCAAGGGATGTTGAGATTCAGAATTTTCTTGTTCTTGTTCAGTTTCGAGTTCCAACAATGTTCTTGTGGTGATATTTGATGAGTGTTTAGGGTTGAGTTGAGGTTGAGAGCATGTAGTGAAGGAAAAGATGGAAAGAAAAAGGAAGAAGAAAAGAAGAGAGATTAGGAAGAGCTTTTTGGTATGGAAGTAGAGTAGTGGAGCCATTTAGTGAAATGAAACACACAACACTATGTGTAGATGTGTGTGAGAATGTATTGTATGAGTGAAAAAAGGGTCGGCAGAGAAGGGAATTGGAGGTTAATGGTTTTATAGGTTGTTGAGAGGGAGGTGTAGTAGAGAGTGAGATTGGAAGTATTTATTGCGAAAATGGGGAGGTTAGAGAAAGGTGAGACCTGTCACATGGGGCATGGAGAGAGAGTATGTATAGTGGTGGAATTCACTATCCAAGACGCGGTTTTACATGTTGTTTACTCCTTCATTTTTAATGCGTTGGAGTGTACTCTTTTCTCGTTTGAGATTTTCTACAAACGTTCACTTTCTTTTTTATATGTGATTTGTTTTATTGGGTCTGATTTTTAGAAATTTCACAATTTTTTGAAAAGGTCTCGGATGATTTCCTATGCAAATGAGAGTGTTAAAAATAGTGTTAAAATGATTTTTCTCACTTTGAACCTCTACACTACTAACTATTCCCTATGTCGATGTTTTAGACATTTCAAATTAATTAAGAACTATAATTAATAACATATGGAAAACAAAAATTATATATCATTTATTATAGATAAAAGAAATATAAAGAATTTGAAATAAGAAGAATAATAAATGATAGAGGAGATTTAAAAGATTATTGAGGTTCAAAGAAGATTCTTTTAATCAACATTTGAGCATAGAAAAGTAAAAAGATATTTTTTAAATTGTTTTAAGATTATGTGTAGGAGAATGGATTTATCTAATTTAACTAGGAATTGCAAAACAATAGTAGCAATATTATGGGTGGACAATAGTTACGGGTGGTTTCGGGTTTAAAATTTAAATTCGACGTAAATTATAGTTTTATTTATATGGTTTAGTTTTGGTTTTCGTTAAATTCGGTTAAATTGATTTGACGGTTAAATCAGGTCGATTTAGTCGGTTTAATATTTAGTAGAACTAACCTATAAAAATAATTTATTTTTAATTTTTTATAAAAAGAATATTAAATTTTTAGAATAGAACTATTCTTTTATTATTAAAAAAAATTATTATTACAAGATAATATTTTTAATATTATTTGACATTAATTTTGATTATTATCATACTTTAAACCATAAATTAAATAATACTCGAAGTTTTATATTACATATCTTCTATTTTTTAGAATACACAATGCAATTATTAAATTATAAAAATGATAATATCCTGCAACATTATGAATCTCATTTTTTTTAGTGAGTCATACTATAAAGTATATGTTAATTAAGTTCGATCGATTTCAGTTATCGTCAGGTTTAAAATAAATATCTGAGTCTGACCAAAATAACTCTATATTATCTAAATTAAACAACCGAATCAACTCGATCCGACCTATTTGTAAAAAAGACAATAGATCGGTTGATTTCAATCATGTCGGTTCAAATTTATCCACCTCTAAATAAAATAGGTACAATCTTTTTATTTTAATTCATTTTGATATAAATAAGGTATACGAATAATGAAAATTAAATCACTTAACAATATATATTATTGATTACAAAGTATTTTTTACAATTGATTATCTATATAAAAAAAAAATCAGATCTTAGCATAACTTCTAAGCTACAAAAAGTCATAACTTTCCAGATCTACACCAAAATTTTATTTGAATCCCTAGGCCTTTTATGAGATACTTCTTATGATAACTATTTTCTTCCAAATCCTCAAGTCTTTATCACTGCCAATATTCTTTCAATTCTTCTTGAAATTCACTTGATTTTTGAATTCTTGAACGAAGCTATGTCTATAACACTCCATGTCTTTAACTTGGAGAAGAAGCACCTTTATTTTGCTTGGACATACAATATCAAGAATTTCAATAAAAATTTTAAACAAATTCAAGCAAACATTAGCAACTAATGGATCATCACAACGTCTCACACTCACTCTAAAAGAATCTCTTAAGATAATGACAAATTAATGTATTTATAGATGTTGAATAAAAAGTTACAAAAATAGTGTAAAATAGTCTTCATGATTTAATTCAAAAGCATAAAAGATGATTAGAGTCAAATGATTAAATGATTTGGATCAAGTGAACAAAGAAGGAAAATTTCAAAGGCATGATTCAAATCATGACAAGATGTAATCCAAGACATATGATTCAAATCACACAAATTTTTGATTTGGATCACATTTCCAAAATCAATATGTTTTGAACATAAAAGGATCATGATTTGAGTCAAACCATTGCATGAACAGAATCACATTTCTCGAATTTGAAATATGAAAAACATTTTGTCTATGATTCAAATAAAGGTGTTGTCTGATCTAAATAAAATGCGTTGGCTTTGGTCAAATGACAATTTTATGCATGAAAAAAAAACCATTTTTAATTAGAATTTATGCAAGGTGATGTGAGGGACTCAAATACAATAAAATCGGTAAATAATTTAATAAAAAAATACCTTAATTATAAGCGATTAACTTATGACCAATTTCACATATTATCCTTAAAAGAAATAGTCTGAAAAACCACCTCATTCAAATGGTGCGATCAGTAAGAGATTTTTGAAAATGATGAGAGAAATATATTGTAATCTCCTGTCTAATATCAACCACTCCTTCCAACTAAACGCCTCCAATCCAAAGATCCAAGATATATTTTCTCTTATTCCTATATTTAACAAGACATGGAAAAATATTGTGTTAGTATCATTTTTCTTCAACTATATAGTATTCGATCTTTGGAACATCCGAGAGTCTCAAACTTTAAGTAGGAGAGCCAGTCCTAGCAACAATCTTCACATGCTGAATAACATTTTTATACAGCCTTTAAGTTCGAAATTTCAATCTCCCCGCTTAAGGAATCAATACAATAAGCTAGTTTGCCAAAAAAAAAATCCTTGTTTCAAAATTGCAGTACACTTTTCACTGATTTAAGTTTGTATTTAAGGACATACATCTTTCAATCCAAAGAAATAATTTGTCCAACTATTCTAAACCACCTCACTCAACTAACTATGTATTAGCCCGTGGTTATTAAATCTAAAAGGCTTAGACCCCCCATAGTTGACAGTCATAACGAAGGATAACATGCTAATGTTCAAATACATCTCGAGGCAAGGCCTACTAAGACATCAAACTTAATTTATCTGACCAACTATCCAACACAAATGTTATGTCAAGTCTACTAGTTATCCCTAATTAGGTTGAAACTAAGTGGAGTTTCTTTCTAGGGAGAGGTCATTAAATTCCATCTAGGATGTGATATTACTAAACCCAAGATAATCAGTCGTCCCATATAGGTAATAAAGATCATCAATGTCAATCCTCTCAGTACTATAGCAAACCAAGTAAAAATCTCTGACAACATGCCACACGTTGCCCCTTATACAACTTTTGCACAAAATAATGTTATACCACATGACTACTTTCTCAAGCAAAGTACACATAGAGAACACATTGAGCAAAAAACAGGGGATTTTAGAAGCACTCACTCCTAGAAAACACCAAGAAACTCTAACCTTAAAAAAAAGAAAAAAAGTAAGGTCTTTTTCGAACTACAAAAAATAGCGAGAAAACTTCTATTATTTCCAACACATGGACAAAACTCCACTCACAAAAAGAAATCCTACAAAAAAAATGCACTAGAGAGTCTTGCACCTCAATAAACTTATAGTTTCTTAGATCACCACAAAACTCCAAATAATTAAAATAAATTAACTCTTTTTATAAGGTAACTTGTATCACAAGTTACTTGACAAATGGTGATAAATTGATAGCAAATTAGAGAGTGATCGAGGAAAAAGAGTTTATTGATTATTGCATATTTTGTGTATATTTAAATTACAATGGAGGGTGGTGTTTATAAACACACTAGCCATCCAAATCAAAATTAAAACAAATTATAAAAAAACTTATACACTCGCCCGAATCTATGATATACCCCCTCAAATATATTCTTAAAGTAGTTTGTATAACTACAAGTGATATACATGCTCAGGTCTATGATATACCCCAAGTATATTCTTAAAGCATCCAGTCTAACTAAAACCTTCACTTTTCTTTCCAACAAATAAATCCACACATGTCTAGTGAATTCATCTATGAAGGTTAAGAAATATAAATCACCTCTTGGCGAGTTCACTTTAAAGGGACCACACACATCTAAATGCACAATTTCAAGCTTCCGTTGTGACTTCATTGGCAAGTAATGTTTTAATGGCTTCCTGATCTGCTTGGCTGTGCAACATTCCTCACATAAATGCTTTGGCACTTTAATCGTTGGAAGACCATACACCATCTTCTTCATATGCATCAGGCTAAGACTCCTGAAATTGAGATGACCAAATATTTGATGCCAAACCTAATTTTCATCTTCAATTGTGGTTGATGCAAGACATTGATGATCAAGCATATTGATCATGACTTTGAATGTCATGATGGTTGACAAAGATTCCTTCAGAATTAGTCTAGAAATTTCGTCAAACACCTCAAGTCCCTTTCCTTTCAACTTTATTGTGTAATTCTTGTCAAGTAGTTGAACCAAACTGATCAAGTTACTTTCCATTGAGGGAACATATACGACATCACTGATGATAGCTTCATGTCCATCCTTATTTTTCACCATGATGTATCTCGTTCCTTTTAATGTCACCATGTCGTTGTCTGTAAAACGAGTTGATCTTTTAACTGATTCATCCAACTTGACAAACTAGTTCTTGTTGTCGTCATATGGTTGCTACAAGTTGTATCAAGGTAGCACACATTTTCTTTCTTTGAATCCAAATGTGTTGCAACCATAAAGATGGCCTTTTTAGCATCACTGCTACCAGCATGAGCAAGTTGAGACACATCTTTGTCGTCACCATTGTCTTTATTGAAGTAGCAGTCTCGAGCATAATGACCAAACATCTGACAACAATAACATTAGACTTCTTTCATGTCAACCTTGTTCTTGACATTTTGATTTTGATTTGCATTATTCTTGCTAGTTTCACCTTGGCTTCTTAAAGCTTTACCAACATCAC